CTTGCAAGCCATCGTTTCAAATTTTTACTTTGTGACTCCACAAGACAGTACAAAAGATCATTTACACGAACAAGGTGGATTGTACTTACTTCAAGAACTCAAGCGAGAGTGAGAGGGAATTTGGCACGTATCCTGTCACAATCAAATTGTAACTACAAAGAAGATGGAGATTGTTGCCCTTGATTAAAAATCTCAAACAATGAAAGAGCTTGTCAGAACAGTATCTGAACACCTGGAAAGAAAAGGTTACAAACGCAAGATTTGCTGAGCTTTGTAACCATGTGTAAGTTACCATTTCCTACATAAGGATATGACACATCAGACACGACTAGCAGTTTACTCTAAAAAATATTCAAATTGTAGGAAGAAAGGATATATACAAGAGGGGAATCGGTACGTTGTGGGATCGGGGAAGATGGGAACAGGTCCATGATTTCGAGCATAAAATATGTCCTCGTTAGTCAAGTAGGAAGTAGTGAGCACGGAGAGGGGAGGCTCAGCATTGAAAGGTTGCTGAAACACGCACAAAACACACCAAGCACGGAATCACCCAGCGGGACCTTCTGGAATAGAAACAAACAACAAAAGAATGATTTGAATCTCAACCAACGAGCTCTAGATACCAAACCCACGATCATACAATTTTGATTCTTGAACATTAAGAACTCAAGCGAGAATGAGAGTGAGAGTGAGAGGGATGAAAACATCAAAAAGGGAGTTTAAAACTTCCAGAGTCTTCAAAATATTATTATCTAAAGGGTACCAAAAACAACTTTACACAATTTCCTGGTTTTCCTACTCTAGCAAGACCTTCATCAGCATTCACGGAAGGAACAAAGAACACAATGCTAACAGAATCGAGAAGCGCTCGCAAGTTTTCCTTACTACTGTGCATGTCAACATGGTATTCTTAAGAACCGCAACCGTTGACTCAAAGCCTCTCCTACTCAAAATATCCATGCACGTGCCATGAGTCCCATAATCTTACAAGATTATTCCTCAAACAGCTCGAACTCAATACCATTACACAATTTTATCAACAGAGTCCCGCTATCTATCTTGAGAAGCCACGCATGTGAGAAATCAAAAACAACATATTCAAATAATACAAGAGAAATAGAACCCCCATTAAACTACCCGCACTCCAGAAACAGCTGATTGAAGTAGCAAAATTCCACAAGCTCTCTTTGGCGAGTGGGGCCGTGAACGTAGAGCATAAATGTCAGGCTAATGCAAGAGATGTTTATTCAAAACGCAAAACTCTTCCCATCAGCTGTAACATCCAGACGTTGCAACGATCACAATACAACAATATCAAGCACGGCCAGCTCTGGCTCCCTGTTACCTAGGGATGCTAACGTTGACACAGCTCATAGGACCTTGACCCGCTGTAATCGAAATTCCAGTGCATATTCTATGAGAAACGTTAAACTTATTAAACACAACCTCCTCATCGAATGTGAAAGGTCTCCTTCAATCTCGACATTCTTCCTCTCATTGCCAATTAACGCACAAAGACCATCAGTTAGATTCTCCACCCAATTCATCAATGATTTTCACACTTGCATCACATTGCGCAACTTCGAAAAGCTTTCACCTATTTCGTGCAGCTAGGTATTTACCAATGAAACGAAACAACACGTCGATTTCTCAATCCTACCATCAGTTCATGCTCCCTTTGCCCCATCCAAACAGAAGAAAACTCACTACTAAGAGGGATTACCCAAGTAACCGAGACAAATCTCAAGGACTCAAATCAAAAAAATAAATAATAATAATAATAATAATAATAATAAATAAATAAATAATCATAGACTCACCATAGAAGCGACGATCAGTCCCTCCTTGCGACGCGGTTCGTCGTTGTAACAGAGAGAACCTTGCAATCGGAGTTCCTTGGGAGAAGAGTGGGGAGGTGATTCCATGGTGTCGCTCCTTCAGGGCTCAATCACGATCAGCCCTCCAAAACGAAGAACAACAAATAAACCGCCAAACATTCAAGCAAATCCAAATCAAAAAGTATAATACCGTCGCATCGGAGAGAGAGATCAGCAACGTGCTCTCACGCCATAGCCGTGAGTTTCGCTGCAACAAATTTGCCCTGCTCCAGAAATTAGGGTTTCATAGCGTTTCCACTGAAGTTTTGCTGGAATGTGATTTAGCAGGAGGTGGGTTATGACATCATGAGATACTACAGCCAATTCTTTATGTGCTTGATTGAAAATATAGCATTTCACGTCGACCCAATTCTTAACTAAGCGAGGGTTTACATCACAAGGTATTTAGAAGAGCATCAGTAGTGACATTTCTCATGAAACTTCGCAGGTTTGATATATTTTTGTGAATTTTGAACTCGCTCGTTGATTCAATTATCATTGTTGTTATTGTTACAATTGAATTAGTCAATTGCTAAAAAGGAATATGGGATAGACTGTAAATGAAGTAAAAATGTGATTAGAGTAATGACTAATAAGCAATCATCCATTGGGGAGAGGAGAGGTGATTGACAGCATTAACAAATTGTTTGTGATGTTGTTTGTTTGTTTGTTTATTTGTTTTAATACAATTACAATGCTTGTTTGTCTTACAATGATAACATAAAATGCAATAAGGTTTAAATTTCATTGTGTATTGTAACCTTTTTTTCCCAATGTAGTTTTTGCCTGCAACATTGTGAACATTCTAACTTATTTGATTTGTAAATATTGTTTTGGATATGTAACTTTCTATTTCAAGATTTGATAGAATTGAGAAATTCCTCTGTATCAATTCTATCAAATCTTGAAATAGAAAGTTTTTTCATTATGTAATAGTAGTCAAAACCCGTGCCATTGGCCACAAAAATAATATTGTAAACTATGTATTGTAAATTAACCTTTTGTTTGAAGCTTCATAAGACATGAAACTCCATGTTGCATGTCATTCCACATTTGTGGTGCTTGTGAGCTCCACACCTAGTGATCTTGTAGCACTACTCTTGGCAATTTGCAGCAACAGCATGCAGATTTTAATCTCAAATTGATCAAAAGTTGAATTATTGCTTCACTTATGATGAAAAACAATGAGATATGCAACCAATTAGAGCTGATTTTTTTGTCTTATCTAGTTTATACCTTAAACTGTTTTATGTAAGAGATTCTTTCATCCAAATTTACAAAAGTGCTCCTTCACAATTAGAAATTTATTCTCAATGGTGTGTAGATATAATCTAAAAAGTAAGTGCAAATGAAATGTTGTGCACCTAGTTTTTCTTTTATTCTTTTGACACAGCAGGAATATACCCTATGCAAGTTTGGGATTTTACAGTTGGGATTGTGCACCTAGTTAATTTTTTAAAGTGTGGAAATTTTTAATGTAATATGTTGTCATAGCCATCAAAGTGTGGAATCATCAATTTCAAGGAAGCTTGTTTAAGATTAATGTTGTGTGTCCACTCTGTAAATTTCACAATACCAATTTTGCTTTTTTCAAATCATGCATGTCAATTTATGGATGAATGTTTAAATTTAAAGCCTGCAATACTTTTGAAAGTAAACAAAGCAAAATAAAATGAATCCTAAAACTCACGTGAGAAAATTTACTGGAATTTCGAAGATACCAAACATACATATATATATATATATATATATATGTATATATGTATATATTAAGAAATGCAGAATTACATTATAAATATTAACACATGTGTAAACTACTAGTCAATAAGAGAATGCAAAATAAACAAAATAAACTCCTTGTGAAAAATCTTTATTTGCATTGTAAGAGAACCTCTCATGATGACTTTTTACTTTTATTTTTATCTAGGAACTTTTTGTGAATGCTTGTTATTGAAACTTTTTGTGAATGCTTGTTATTGAAACTTTCTGTTCATACTTCTATTAAATATTTGTGAAAAGTTATTGAAATTTTCTAAAATTGTTAAGAAAAGTCTCAGGAATGATTCAATGGTTTAAAAACATTTTGTAATCCTCTTGGGAGATCTAAAAAGACATCAAGTTCACTTGGACTTACATCCATGATGAATTTTTCAAACTTTTAATAGCAACAAATTTTATATTATTGTGACTCTCAGGATTTTGTAAATATCTTTGTAGCTTTTATTCTAACATCTGAAGTATCATTATAAAACACATTTAGAGAATATAAATAATAATATTTGTGTGATTATTTCACAGTGGCTGATCATGTAAAAATTACATTTTTTATTTAAAGGATAAATTTTGTTTCGATTAATCCAACAAAATAAATTCAATAGCTAATTTAATATTATGGTCAGATTTCTACATTGGAAACAACTCATTTCCATTATTTAACTCCCAAAACGCTTGTAACTGGCATGAATATAACCACATATATTTAAAAAAATTAAAATGACATTTCTGCACACATATAATTATTTAAAAAGAAAACATGCACACATGTTAAAAATTTAAAAAATAAATCAAGAAAAATAGAAAACAATTTAAACAAACAAACAAATAAATTTTAATAAATAAAAAATTAAATCAGCATATAATGTTGAGGCGTGGAAGCTGTTAATTTTTTTCACACAGTGAAATATCACTTCACGATTGTATTTCAACAAGAAATGAAATTCAGAGTTAACGTTATTTAATATTCAGACCTACACACATCCAGATATACACCTACACATACACACATACACACATACATACACATATACATACAAGACGATACAAGTATACGAATACCCAGCAATGTGAACCGCGAACGACAAGCCTAGAAACGCCAGCGACCACGTGGTCGAATGAGGGTCCACGACGAGCAGCGCGGCGAGAACAGTGGGGAACAGGTTGGGGAACCGGGTGGGAGGCACGGGAACTCCGCCTCTCTGGTAGCAAATGAAGACCCAGTTGTGCGTGGGCATTGGGGTTTGTGTGGAGAGAGCCCACGCCATAGCTGGGCTGCCCTGCTGCTACTACTCCTACTACTACTACTACTACGGTGGAACACAACACAACTCAACGCGGTGGACGAGGGAGGGGAGGGGAGGGGAGGGAAGGGTACAGACAGAGGGAAGGGTACAGACAGAGGGAAGGAGGGTTTAACGCGCACCATTTGACTGTTCCACGCGGTCTCGCTTCGGCCGCCAAGTGGGCTGGAGCGTCCGCACGTATACCTTCTTGGTTGTGTTGTTGGCGTAGGGGACGTTTTCCGAACACGTTTGGTGATGTGTAGGGATAATACGAGCAGGGAGCGTGAGAATAGAGACGGAGGGAAGTTGTGGGGATGCTGGTTTGCATTCCATCATGGAGGAATGTCGTCTTGAATATGGTGTTGAGAGAAGTTGGAGTTGAGAGTGAGTGAGAGACAGAGAGAGTGAGGTTTTGACGTAGGGGTAGTAGGTTTTGGCAGGGAGAATATGAGGCTAGGGGATGATCGGTATAGTCTAAAGCAACGGGAAGCAATGGTGTTTCAGGGTGCGAGAGTGGATCCTGGTGTGGAATGGGGGTGGGGAGGAGAGAGTGTGGGTCGTAGAAGCATGAAGATTAGGATAGCCGGAGCAGGAGCAGGAGCTGGAGCAGGAACAGACAAGGGGTTTTATTTGGAGGATAGATTTTTGATCAATCCAAAGTTGCTCTTTGTAGGACCTAAAATCGGAGAAGGTGCGCACGGGAAGGTGTATGAAGGGAAGTACTTGGATCAGAAAGTGGCGGTGAAGATTTTGCAGCCCACGAAAAATCCTGATGATCATGCGAAGCTGGTGGCGGGGTTTGTGCGTGAGGTTGCCATGTTGGCGAGGGTCGAGCACAGAAACTTGGTTAGGTTTGTGGGAGCATGTATGGAGCCTGTGATGGTTATTGTCACGGAGCTTATGGAAGGGCGATCACTGAAGAAGTATATGCTTACATTGCGGCCTAATTTGTTGGATTTGAGGTGCTCCGTGAAGTTTGCTCTTGACATTGCTCAGGCTATGGAATGCCTACATGGGAATGGGATCATTCACCGTGATCTGAAGCCAGATAACTTGCTGTTGACGGCAGATCACAAACTTCTTAAGTTAGTAGATTTTGGACTTGCCAGGGAGGAAACTCTCGCTGAGATGATGACTGCGGAGACGGGGACTTACAGGTGGATGGCGCCAGAGCTATACAGCACTGTCACTCTCCGGCATGGTGAGAAGAAACATTACAACCACAAAGTGGATGTGTACAGTTTTGCAATTGTGTTGTGGGAACTACTGGCGAACAGGATGCCGTTTGAAGGGATGTCCAACCTGCAGGCAGCATATGCGGCAGCCTTTAAGAATACAAGGCCAGCCATCCCGAAGGGTATTCATGAGGACCTTGTGTTCATCCTGCAGTCTTGCTGGGCTGAGGATCCTGAAACGCGGCCTAATTTCGCACAGGTGGTTAGAATGCTGACCGCCTTTTTAAGCACTCTTCACGAACCTGAGAAGAAGCTTTCCAGTGCGCCAAAGAAACCTTCGACCGTGGACAACAAATCTCTCACTGCAGAGAAGAAATCATCAAAGACGGGGAAGGGCGTTCCGAAAACAGACAAGGGATCTCCGAAGGTGCGTAAGGAATCGCCAAAGACGGGCTCTCCAAAGGTGGGTAAGGAGTCGCCGAAGACGGAAAAGAAATCACTGGAGAAAACGGCTCCGACACTTGTTATAGCCATCAAGGACGACAGCTCCCCAAAAAATCCTTCCGCCTCAAATCCATCGAAAGACGGCTCTTTCTCTGATTCCGCACCACCAGCTGACGAACCCAAGAGCATGTTTCATTGCTTCAGTTCATGTTCATTCTGGGGGTTATGTTGAAGCGATACTCTTATTCACATCCCCCACCTTCACATTTCCGCTATTTGTGACTTTTGATCCAACTCTCCGTCACCATGTCCCTCGTCGCTGTAAATGCGACTGAGCACGTCGAATACAGGAGCTGGGAGATACGAGGCGGCTGGGTTATTCGATGCCCTGAGTTATCTGTGTTCCATTTCCACCCTACTCAGACAAACGATTGTACAAATACTTCAAAGCCAGGATGCACTTGTTATGTGCTTCCCTTGTGCTTCATTGATTTCAAACATGCTTATCTATCCGGCCGCAAGTATGAGGATACGAGGTAAACTTGCCGCAAAGTGATGGCCATGTCCTCATGGCACTTGAGCATGCAGGCTTTTAGATTAGGTAGTAGCACTATTTCATGTATCAGTAGGTTTTCATAAATATCAGACCTTAACTTTTATCTGCGCTCCTTTTAACATCAGTTTTGTTCGTTCGTTCATTTGTTTGTTCTTTCATTTTTATTTGGGTTCCAGTTTTCCGCAAAATTCCGCAACTTTCTTCCCCAGCACGTTATTAATCGACTCTAATATTCACACTGGACATCTTCTTTCGTTGTTTCCGTGTATCTGTGTCTTGGTCTCTCTAAACATCTAACGATCCTTGCGTTCGCTTTTGTTCAATGGAGGTCGTGCTTGTTTGAAAATGACTGTCAACCTTTCGAATAACTTGGTTGTCTTTTCTATTGTCCTCTTCGGTGTGATAATCGACTCTTCCTAAAACAGGATTGTGCTGAGGAAATGATCTTATTGTTATTATTATTTTGGATTTTGTCTGAAGGTAGTGTGGACTCTTCTCCAGTACACGCGCTTGTACCAGGGAGCCTTCTCCCGGACGCGGACAAAATCACAACGAGGAAATCCATACGAGAAAGACGACAGGCACTACAAACAAAACAAAGATGAGCCACTTTTCGAGGAGCTACAATCCCAGCAGTGATTTTCGGAACACACTACCGCTGGGCATCATCGAGGTGGTAGAACAAACAAAGCAGGGATTGGGAGTGATGATCCTGCTGCTACGTCTGGTGATCGGCGTTTACATGCCTGCATATTTTATTCACTCATTTATGCGATCCTGGTGGATGTTGTATCTGTTGCAAATAAATGAATTTACCACAATATTCAATCAAATAAATGTTGAGTGCATAAATTTTAAAGCTGATACAAAATATAAGTCAAATTTGTCCTGTACAACACATTTACATTGCTTTGTACTTCACAAATCAATCTTCACTCCAAGAGAACCCCAAGAACATGTCTTGCATCGTCATAAAATTTGTCTTTCTATGACATCCATAAATACTCTTTGAATTGAAAGACTCATCATTCAAACATCGCTTTCATTTTTTATTTTTAGACTGTTATAAACTGTGATTTAAACATATTTTATTGAAATTTTCTTCTACACCATTTTTTTTTTTTTTTTTTTTTTTTTTGAAGAGTATTCATTGAAGTTACTTTTCATTTTGGGAATTTGTTTTAAAGAGATTGAATTAAAATGTTAAATTTAAAATTCAGGGTAATTATGAATAAAAAAATATTTGATTACCAAATTTGAGTATGGACTTCATCTTGCATTTGAACGTACAAGGATCAAGTCACAGTTCCATTTTGAGATTTAATAGAGTTTCTTTTCGATTCAATTGCCATGGAGTTATAATAATGCGTCTAGTTTACCGACTTTCAAATATTTTAGATTTTCAAAACTCTGAGAGAGATTTGCAGGGTTTCAGAAACCATGAATACTTTAAAGTATATTGATTATGGAATATATGGTGGTTTTGTTAGGTAACTCTAAAGGAGTGGAAAGCTTCAAAGTTTACCTCAAAGACCTTTCGCAGCTCTTGGAATTCTCAACACTAGCTCAATTGTAGGAGTATTTGACAGACATCAAATTCAAAACCTCTGAATCCGCTAACTTCTCGGGTAAGCTACTCACTAACCAACAATCATACTTCAGTACACCGTTTCCGCTGTGTAAGTACCGCAGCGATTCAGTGAACTGTAGGAAGACATTGCGGTTGATATTTTGACAAGTTTGCGTCGTTAACAAGTTGCACTTTGGAACTCCGAGCTTAAATTCTTCGCTATTTTTACAATAGCTGAACATAGGCGAGTTGACACTTTCAGGAGAAACTCGAACTTAAAAGGGAATCCTTAAAAGTTGCACTCGATTCAGGGTCACTAATTTCTGGATGTGTATTTTAAGAATCCGCGAAGTTTGCAACCATGTCCATCCTTATATGGCAAATTGAACTAATTTTCTTTCTTCATTTAGGCTATCCACCGACTACAGCACAGTGTGGGCTTCCTTAGTGACAACAGGAAGAATGTGGATAAATGAGAACCAAGCAAACGCGCCAAAAATATCTTCAAAGAAGTTAGATGAAATCTTGACGTACGATTTTCTTAGTAATGAACTTGGCGAGGAACTCATAGCCATGAGCATATAATGCCTCAATTTCAGCTTTTTGTCCGAAAGTAAGCATTTCGAGTATCTCCTGCTTGTACTGCTTGTGGTTCTGTAACCAGTGCATGTTATATTTGTCAAGTCCACATTCATTCTTAACAGTACTCAAGATCGCGGCTCCCACCAACCAATCACACAGACACAATACAGAGCAACTGGCCGAAGTTATTTGCTTGCTACGCCGTACAGTGATGGCTTTGGTCGTGTCTCAACAGTCAACACAAAGGGAAATCCTTTGTTTTCCGTGAATTCAGCTGGTTGGTGACTTGAAGGGTTTCCTATGAAAATGTGGCATTCATTATGCTGCTTTTGAGCAACACAAAATGAAAAACAGATTCTTCTGTAATACAAGACCAAGTCTTTGTTCAAGTATTCATACCTGGAGCATCTTCGAAGCAAGCAAGCTCCTTGCCTGCGTCATATCTCTGTCTGTAAGGCTCGTAAAAGCAGTTGCTGGCACGTAGGTGAGAGCGTCTCGATTGCGCAACCCAAGCCACTTGACATCGCAAACTGCGGGCACTCACTGGCATTCAGAAACTGATGACCAATTTCGTTTTGAATTTGGCACTTTGCTGGACCATTCGAATGCCTTCGCATGTCAAAGAGTCGAGTATGTTACTGCTAGCAATATCGATGTACATAATATGAATCATTTCTTGTAGCGAATACCTTCAATCCTAGTGAAAGTCGTATCAGAACATGACCTTACCGTAACGTGGTGCCTCCAACCCCATTCTAATGCTCCCAAATCTGTATGTACAAATAATGGCCAGACCTGCTGGATTCCTGAGGCAATGTCCCCATTCAAGTGTGAGATGCCATGCGCAACAGCTTCAGCATGACCACAGAGAATAAAGTTCGTTACATGTGCCTGCGGAACCTCAAAAAGTGAAGACAAAGTGAATCTTTTCAGGTACAGTGGGACTCACCAGTCCACGAGAGCGAAAATAAGCATGCTCGGAAATTCTTGGTGCAGTCGATGCAATAATGCTCTGCACGGAATAACACTATTTGTTGGTATAAGATGACAAAGCAGTAGGCGATCGACAGACTTCTTGTACTCAAATATCCAATTCTCTTGTGATTCAATTGTACGTAAAACATGATGAACCATTAAATCTGATGGCATTGGTTCGTAGACCTGGATGCCAAGTCAGGAAAGCCTTTTGCTGTCATGATTATGCATGGAACTTTAAGGAAGAAGCGCTCTTCCACCAATCTTTGAAAAATGGCATCCTGCATTTAAAGAACTAGCGGTCAGATATCGTCCTGATAACAAGTGCGATGAATCGGATTAGATTACAAATTTGACAACATTTGACGCACCTTCTCGATCACAAGTATATATCTTGCATCCGAGTAAAAATGTTGTTTCATATTCATGTCCGCGCTGATAGGATATGAGCTTGATCCTAAGTTGCTACAATCGACCGTATCTCCACCATGCTCCTTCAAAAAAACTATGACTTAATGTCGTGCAGCAGTGGAGAAGGCAATTATATTGGAACTATGTTTTAACCGGAACCGATCGTACTTATCGATACGTAGTAATAGTAATCACGAGTCAATGTAAAGACATAATCTAGCATCCAACCTTGATCACAAGTCGACCAACCACGGCACCTTTACTTGAAGCCAGAATGCCAAGGCTCCGACGAGTACAAAGCAGAACTGCCACAGCATCTGCAACGAGGGACTTGTATCATTTCACTAATGTTTGATGCAAATTTTTGGTGTAGATTCTAAAGTAGCATTGAAAAAGTTGGGGATTACCTTGGATAGCACTGTTTACTTGATTCTGGCTTGTAATGTAAGAGCTCGATGTTGATAGAATATTGTAGAATATTTCCCTTTGAGTCGCTTGTTTTCCAATCCCAAGCAATTGATAGCAGATTTGCATCACCTTCCAAACTATATATCATGTGGCTCAAAGTGTATGACAGGTCAGTCAGTAAATCAGGTATAATTAACACACTTAAGACCGCGGCACATGAGCTGTGATTAAGAAAAAATTCAAATCTCCATGTTCCCTTCACAGCTCATTGATATACAATTTAAGCAAGTGGAGCACAAATTTTGGCGGATTGAGAAATTGCACTTGTTGTTTGAAGTATCAGCGCAGACAATGTGTGTGTTCTTTAGGAGCCGTGATCACCTAGAAAAAAGCTTTTCCCGCTGTTCCTTACAGTAAAGTCTTTCTCGTAAGTCGCATCCATCAAGTAAACCCCTTCCTCATCTGCTCCCGCATTACGCTCTGATCTGGAGATCTGCGCAGCAAGTGATGTACACAGTCGCAGCTCTAAGTACAGCGGTTTCAGGCGAATAAAAAAACGTCTGCACGCGCGGTGCTATAACAAAAACACTAAAAATCCGTTCAATTCTGTTGAGCGTCTTCAGCTCATATTGATGCGTCGACAAATAGCAACTCCATCTTTCATTTAATTGAACCATGTTATGCAATTCAAACTCAAGCCACAGTAGAAAAATGCGGCGCATAGAGAAGTGTCGACATCATAAGCGACTTTACCAGTGACAGGGGCTTTATCGCAACATCATTTTCTACCATCAAACTCTTGAGAAAAAGCTTCATCAAACACTCAATCCTGCTACGAACCTGCAAATAATTTCATCCTGTTGTTCAATTCCACAATTCTACAATTCATTGTCATACAATTACTATTTTTTATTCAATCAGCATGAAAGCACCAATCATCATGGCCTACCAAAGCTCATTTCAAACAGTAAATATACAATATATCAACACTTCGCGGAAAGAGATGAGAGCATGCAATTTCACTCATCAAACTCTGGTTTATTAGAAAATTGCGATTCATGAACTGTTAAGGGAATACGGATATTTGAATTTTTTCTTAAACATTAGCTTCGGGTCATTTTAAATTCGACCACGACTCGTCAGCTTTCTCAACCCTCGCTAAATTTGTGGAAACACTAATATTGCCTTGTGATTAAAGAAAACACCTCAGAAGGATCGGCATCATCAGCCAAGCACATTGATCGCCTCGCCTCCATCGCCATAGCCGCTTCAGTGCCTGGAACGTATCCAAAGGTCCATAAACCTCATAATTTGTAATGCCCCGCCTTCACCGAGAAACTTTTCATCAACTTTTACATCTACGGTCTTCCAGTTTTCATCCATCCATATATAGCATCCTCATGTTTCAACACGCCACTTCCATTTAAAGCTAGCGGCTCAAAATCCATTTGCACTTCATAGAACTACTGAAACATTATTAATATATACTCTTGTTATAGATTAAGTGTTTCTAATTTTTTTCATAATTCTAAATCTTTGAATGGTAATATAATATAATTTTAGTAAACTATTCATTTAATATTTTTTCTTTTATGACAAAGACACATTATAGAATTAGTTATTGCAACACATTACATAGATTCAAGATTGGGGTAGTATTGGTATTATTCACAAACTTTAGGTGTATTTTTTTTTATTTATTTTATAGTAAAAATATTTACTAATTTATAAACAATATTTCAAAAACTAAAATTTAGAACAAGTTATCATTCAACAATACTAGTTATCAAGGACATGAACTCCAAAGAAAGATAATCTCAATACACTCTTGTGTCACTCGAAAATACTTAGAAATCACTCAAAGGTGATAATATATTGAACTAGAATGGCTATTGCCAAAGACTAGAAAACATGACGACTCTTGAAACTAAATTGGAAATAAGAAAAGAGTTGACAAGAGTGAAGAAGGCTTCACTCTTGTCTCTATATATACTATCTAATTAGGGGCTACGTGGCAACGTTCTATAGGACCTCCAATATGTGTTGACTTTGTAGGACACTTGCCTTGACTTACAAGGTAAGTTTTTCTACGTATGAGCCACAAAGTTAGCTTGGTCTTCAAGCTAACAACATGTGTGGCACATGGCCAACTTTTTGACCACGATTCTAATCCAAAAAGTCAATTAAAGACATCTATGAAGTCAAAGCAGTGTCTATGAAGCTTCTAAGAAGCTTCCATATAAAATACTATAGAATTAACTTATTTTTACCTACTTTTATTTACTTCTACTTATATATATATGTAATTACTAGCTTACATGAGTATGTCCGTGACATTATCCCCCCCCCCCCCTTTTTTAGGGACGAGTTCCACGAGAAGTGGTCATCATATATTGAGGAAATCTATGATGCGACGAATTGTATTCGCCACATACTATGATCTTTGTTCTCTTCGAAGATGTTTGATAGGGCTTATCAACCATCAGTAGTGTCCCATACTAGGGCGGGAAGACCACCCGGTTATTTGATCATTGTTGAGGCCTTCATAACTTCCTTCAAATAAAACATTTGGAACATCATTAGGAGTTGTTCCTACCTCTAGTAAAATCACCAAACATCGGGAGTCTCTTCTAAGGTTGTGATACCAAATGCGTTGTATCTCGCCATCTATTCGAGGAAGAACATGTCATTCTTGAAGATCTTCATCTCGATTGCATTGTCTTGAAGGTTGTGACAATCGTAATGTCTCGTCTGGTAGGTCAGCAAATGAAGGCTCTTGAGTCAAATCCGCTGGTTGTTGGTTCTCCATTTCTTTAGTGTCACAACTACAAAGATGCTACAAACAAGGATTGAAAGTAGAATGTTAGCTTATCTAGATTTTGTTTCTTTTATAAAGAAGATTTTTATCTTGGTTTTGATAGATGTTGTCGATAAAAAGCCTCTACCACCTTTGCTACATTTACAAGATTCTTTACTGGCTCCTATGTGCGTTCACTAATATCATATCCATGCGAATGGATAAGGTATTCTAATTTATTTTGGTGCCATCTTGAATCTAAGACTTCTTCCACTTCAAATTCTTCATTATTGTCCACTTCTATAGGAGGAGGTAGAGCTTGTCTTCTTCTTCGTATGTCCATTGTCTTATATGGTTCAAGAAGAGATATGTGGAATACTGGATGGATTTTCATTGACTCCGGTAGATATAAACGATATGCAATTGGATTGATTTGTGCAGAAATAGAAAATGGTCCCAGCCTTCGATATTCCAACTTGTCACAAGGATAAGTGGTCTTGATATTGCGATGAAGTAACTATACCTTATCGCCCATGTGGATTGGTGGTTGTTCTTTTCGATAGTCATCCACATTTATTTTTTGTCGTTCTTGAGCTTCTTTTAATTGTACCTTCATTATTGCATGTAACTCTGACAACCGATTTGCTATATCTTCTGCTACAGGATTATCAACTTTTGGAAAATCAAATGTATCAAGTTGTCGATGATAACCATAATTGGCAAAGAAAGGTGTTTGTTGCATAGAAGAATGCACCGTATTATTATAAGCAATCTTTGCCAATGGTAGAAGAGTTGTCCAATCATCTTGTTGATAGTTGATGGTACATCTTAAGTATTGCTCCAAGACTTAGTTTACGCGCTTTGTTTATCTGTCAGTTTGAGGATGAAAAGCTAAAGATAGTTTTATATCCATTTATAAAATCTTAAAAAGGGTTCTCCAAAATCTTAATACAAACTTAGTTCCCATATCTGATATAATATCCTTTGGTAATCCATAATAGTGATAGATATTGTCAATAAAAAACTTAGCTGTTTCTTCACTTGTGATGGATTTTGTACATGGCACAAAATGTGCCATCTTGGTGAAGCGATCTACTATCACAAATATAGAGTCATAAGTACCTAAGCTTAGAAGATTTCAAATGAAGTCCATAGAAACAGAAGACCATGGTTGTTCTAGAATGGGTAATGGTTGAAGAACTCTAAAAGGTCGATCATGAGGAGTTTTTGATCTTGAGCAAACATCATATGATTGTACAAAATCTTTGACTGCCTTCCACATTTGAAGCCACTAAAAATCCCTAGATATCAGCTCCAAAGTCTTATTGTATCCAAAATATCCTTCTGTTGGAAAGTCGTGATGAGCTTGAAGAACACGTAAACGTGCTTCTCCTTCTGGAACATATAGGTGTCCTTCGAAATAGAGTAGGTTGTTTTTGAACTCGAATTTAGAGGGATCATGAGATTTAGAAGAAGTATTCTTAATATCGTGAACAAGAGGGTCTGAAGATATACTTAATTGGACTTGCTTGACAAAAGTTAAATCAATAGTTAATGTTGATTTTATTGCTCGAAGATGAAATTGCTCCGGCTTCAAGAGAATCATTCTTTGTTGCTCAAAAGCTACATCTTCTTCTTTTGGTGTAAGATAAGAACATCTAGACAAGGCATTGGATAAACCTTATTATTTTCCTGATCGATAAGTGATGATGAACTCGAATCTTGATAAAGACATGCTCGAACGAGCTTGATGATAATTTAATATGCGTGCTGACATGAAATACTCGAGGTTCTTATGACCCGTGTATACAATGATTAGACTTGAGGTGCCTTTTAGATAATGATGTCATTCTAGAAATGAATCCACAATTGCAAGAAGCTCTTTATTGTGGATTTCATAGTTAATCTCGGGTGCTGAAAATTTCTTGGAATGGAAAGCTACTGGATGGAATTTGTCATTTGCTTCCATTTGTGACAAAACGACATCCAAAGTAAAGTCTGATGCATCTGTTTCCATAAAAAAATATCTTGGAAAAGTCGACATGATACAAGATTGGTACGAAAGTAAATTCCTTCTTTAAAGCATCAAATGCTACTTCAGCTTCTTTACTCCAATCAAATTTGTCTTTACAAGTCAAACGCATAAATGGAGCTACAACTTGAGAAAAGTTCGTGTTTGAAGATTCGATAGTCAATATACTCCTTTAATGTAACCAACTCATTTTGTGATAAGTTATAGATTGGTCCAAATGGAGGTTGAGCTCTTTCTTGAAGATCAATTGAACAATCATAAGATCGATGTTTTAGAAGAATATCTGCATTCTTCTTCTCAAAAACATCTTGGAATTCTTGATATTGACTAGGAATACTACTTGACGTCTTTTCACTATCTAAAATAGGCGTGGCATATATAGCAAAAGATGACCCCTCTTTGGCAGTATGCATGAAAGCTCTTGCCGCTACTATTAAGGGCTTAGATGCATTAGACTTATGTATTTCTTCTTGATTAATAAAATTTCAAAATAAACTACCAGGAAAGTTAAGGTTAGGGAAAATCCAATCTATCTGAGGGTTGTACTTTTCTAACTAAGATAGTGTTAGGGACATATTCCTTAGAACTTTCTAGAGAGAAGTTTCTAGAACCTTCTAGAAAACAAGCCTCTGGAACCTTCTAGAAGAGAAGCCTCTGGAACCCTTTAGAAAGAAGTTTCTAGAAGCTTCTAGAAAGGAATCCCCTGGAACTTTCTAGAAGCTTCCTAGTTAATAGAAGTAGCTCAAGAAGATTCTAGAACCTTCTAGAAAGGAAGCCTCTGGAACCTTCTAGAAGCTTCCTAGTTAATAGAAGTAGCTCGAGAAGCTTCCTAAGTAGGAGTATATATAGGGATCAAGGCTGAAGAGTTCTTCAGTCTCAACAACACATCTCTTGGAGTTCTAGCTCACCTTTCTGGTATTGTTCTTGTACTCATCTGTTTAATTTAGTTTTGCCACTTCTTCTTGAACTTCTTGTTAGATTTCAACTCTGTATTTTGTGTCCGTGACAGTTTGTCGAGACTACACTAACTTGAGATATCAGAGCTAGTTCTTTCTTAGTAGAGTGTGGATTACCCTTCTATTTGAAGGTATACTAGCATTTTTTAGAGGTTGCGGATTACCCTCCTCTAAACTGATACTTCTTCTAATACTTTATTGGAGTCTTATTCTTCTTGGAGAGAGTGGATTACCCCTCTTCTTGAAATTCTTAAGGCATTTTATAGGTTGTGGATTACCCTCCTATAAACCAATATTGCCTCTTATAGGATCATTTTTGTCCTTCTTTTAGAATGGCCGGAGGTCAAGACATTAGTATGACAGAAAGTTCAGAGTCTAAGTTAGAT